AGCGCCTCGCGGCCCGCTTCATGTGTGGATTGGCACAGTCGACTGGCAGGCCTGCAGTCAAATCGACAGAGCCGCCCCACCAACATGACAGAACCCTGCAACCCTCCCGGCCCCGGCCCCCTTATACAGGTCAGGCCCGAAGGTATATCTTGATCCCTCTTCCCCCACCGTACAACCCCCACCTCTACCCTCCTCCTCTCCCCCTCCCTCCCCGCCTCTCGCAACCGCCCCGGCCCCACCCTCCCCCGCCCCCCGGTGCAGCGTCAAGGGCGAGCCGCACCAAACAGCGAAACCGTACGCACATATGCCGCGCTCTTCCTCTGGAGCGCCCTCTCCGGCATCCACGTCTTTGTTGGTTCCCAGCCCGCGGCCGGCGCCTCTCCCTCCCCCTACAGGCTCATCGGCCGACTCCTCTGCCGGCGCTGCCGAGTGCTCCCCGCCAAGCGCTCAGACCAGTGGCGGCTTCTCGGGCGCACCCGAGGCCGACGGCATGCACACGACGTAGACAAGCGCGCCGAGCGACGAGCCGATCAGCCAGCCCCAGTCCTTGACATCGGGGAAGTCCTCGAGCACGCCGAGTACCACCCTCCTGATCTGCGCCGTTTTTTTCCACCGTCAACAAACAAGACTCGCGATTTCTTTTCTTGTGCGGCTTCCTCTACAACTACATGGCGAGGACGACGGCTTCTAAGTAAGCCGTCGTCTGCGCCTTGCTTGCCGTGAATCGTGGGCGTGGAAAATTCTTTTCTTGTGCGCCAGTCCCGTGCGCGTGTCGCGAAATTAAATTATTTTCTGGGAATGAGTGTAAAATTCTTTTATTGCGCACAACACTCACGTCGCTTAGGCGGCTGCCGTGTGTCCAAATTTCGACCAAAATTCTTTTCTTGAATCCTGATCGGTGCAGTTTGCAAGCGCAGCCTACTGCAGTATCCTGTTTGTATATAGCGTCGCTGGCTCGCGGCCAGATGCGCCACCTAACGCTGCAGCTATCCCTCGTTGTCCTCGTCCACTCTGACACCGCGTGCGAGCGCTCGCCTGACGCCTGCGAGCCGGTGATCCTCGTTCCCGGCGTGATGGGCAGCCGCCTGCGGCAGCATACGCGGGTCCCGGGCGCTCTGCAGACCTCGTCATCACACCTCTGGCTGCCAGAGTCGCACAGGCTGCTCGCGCGCTCGGCGCTCTCCTCTCGGTCGGGCGTGCTCGGCGGCCT